AGGGAAATGGATATGGGATACACGCGTTTGACATTCCCCGAAACCAATTTTATAATCATCCTATCGTCCACTGCCGGACATACTAAACGAATCGCCCCGCCCCGAGGGCCCATGGCTCTTCTCGTATACCCGTGCGCGTACAGCTTAGGCGTGATAAGGATTTTCGTTTGAGCTACTGGAAACGGTTAACGAATTTACCTTCTGGGAATAATTACGTATAATTGCAGGTACATGGAAATTGTTCGGGATTGTTCCAGCCCCTCTAAAGTTGCTCGTAAATATAATTCGATTGAAAAATAGACTAACGACTTCGGGGCAACGTGGCCTGGTGATCGTGAACAATACAAAATATTTAAATTAATAATTTTAGTTAAATTTCATGTAAACAACAAAAAAATCATGTAAATCGTTAGCTCGATTCAGGTATTAAAATTTCGTATGTTTTACGAGCGACGATTGAGGGGTGGACTATTCTTTTTTTTCTTTTAATATCGAATTTACCGCATATCCAAAATCCCGCGAAGTTCAGTCATCGATTTTTCCACGACGCCGATCGTCGTCATTCAACCGCGTGTAAATTTTCAATTTCTTATGCGCCTTCAGGGCACTCAGTCAATTTAACAGATTGCGGTTACTTCAGGGATGCAAAGATAAGAATATAATTTTTTAATCGTTCAGGATCGAAACGTTCAATGGACCTCTGATAACTTAAATTTATCGAAAAGGGGTGTTAAACACCTTCGCGAGTTCGTATATACATTTATCCGACTTCCACACACCCCCTTAATACTCTGCCGTGTCGTAGACATACGATTAAGGGATGGCACCGTAGGTGGAGGGGGGGGGAGGATAGAGGGAGGGTAAGGAGGGTTGAACGGGCCACAAAATAGTTGAGCATCGGTTTCGCATCAGTCACCCCTCTTGCTTTCTCACGATTCCAATGAATACACGGAAAGCACCCTCTGGGCTCAGACTCTTGCGGGATTCGCAGAGGGGTGGACCGAATTTCAAATTCATTGGAAAGTCCTACAATTATCGGGGGGATGATTCGCCGAGGGAAACTATTCGCTGATCTCACGAGGTTTCCGGTTCTGGTACACAGACAGCCGGTACATACGGAATCGGTATACACGCTGCCGTACCGTGATACGGATATACCGGCTCCTAAGAGGCAACCCTTAAAACAGATACATACATTAGAAGGGGGTAGGAAACCAGAGTGAAGTAGCGCGACTCGGCCGAGCACATTTCTCTATTTACTCTGGCGAAGCGATTGGTCGGCCAATATCGTTCAATTCGTTTCTTCAATTTGCGAGGGTGCTACCCCCTCCGACCCGAACAACCCCTACTGCCATTGATCCCTCCCTTCTACCTTCCTTCCAGGTATCCCTCCACTTGCCGATCCTCCCCGTCGCGCTTTTTTCTCTTGGCTCAAATATTTTTTCGTTCATCCCCCTCCCGCCCCATCAGCAACCCCTGGCAGTCATAATACAGAAATAACAGATATAGCGCAGAATTCGTGGAGGCTCACAGTCGTTTGAACAAGGTGTGTACAGAGGGAGGAAAAAAGAACCACTGATGGACGTGGGCGATTGTTTGCACTAGGAGTATCAAAAAAAAAAAAAAAAAAAAAAA